CTGTCAGGATCTAGAAATCCCCCCTGATCTTCTAGTCTTGAAGTACACTCACCCCATCACCCAGGATGGAGCAGAGGTGGGTGAGGAGCTTCCCACCAGGCAGGCTGAGGGCGCCTCTGCTCTCCTCTCACACCCAAGCCTCCATCCTACCTGCTGCCATCCACCTTCCCTCTGTACCCTCTGTCCAGGCACATTGGAGAAACCCTTCAAGGCTGATCACACCATGGAGCAAGACTTCCATGTGGACGAGGCCACCACCGTGAGGGTGCCCATGATGAACCGCCTGGGCATGTTTGACCTGCACTACTGCCCCACGCTGTCCAGCATGGTGCTAAAGATGAAATACCTGGGCAATGTCACCGCCATCTTCATCATGCCCAAGGTGGGGAGAATGGAGTATGTGGAGGACACCCTCACAAAGGAATTCCTCGACAAGTTCCTGAAAAAAGATTACAGCGGGTGAGTCAAGGCCGAGGGACGGGACAGGCACAGAACTCAAGGTCCCTCAGGACCAATGCGTCAGAAGACAGCATGGGCAGCAGGGGGGACCATCCCTGGGGCCACAGCTACTGGGAATGACCCTGTGCTACAGGAAATGCCAGGGCTCAGCTCAGGTAGCAGCTGAGAAGGGACAGTGCTCAAAGAGCAGGACACAGATCCAGCTAGAGGGGGGACTTCTCTCCAAGAATGTACATTGTCCCCTCCCAATCAATATCCAGGGCCTCGCCAGGGCACTGACACTAGCACATGTTGTGGCAGAATCAAGGACGAAGTCCTGTCCTGTAGGCTAGGGCAGCAAGAGGGAGGACTTCCTGTAGGACCGGCCGAGGTGCACAGGGGAATCACCTGCATGGAAAGGCCCAGAACAGGAACAGGCAGCGCTGGGAGCTCAGGGCACGCTCCCACAGGCTCTGTTTCTCTGTCGCATCTCAGGCTGGTTCACTTGTCCCAGGATTCACACAGCTGGGTATGTGACAGAGCAGGTGCACTGTCCTGAGCCCAGCCATGGCCACTGGTGGAGGAGTCACACTGCAGACAGATGTGACACACATGTGCAGGTTAAGGTGCACTTGGATGGTCACCATTGCTGGCCCACCACCCTCCTGAGGTCCCCGCACTCGGGCTGGGAACAGAGAACAATGCATCCTGGGACTGGTCCCTGAGTCTTGGTGCCAGTGTGCAGCCTCAGCACAGGCCCCTGGGCTTCGCACAGGTCCCTGGGGACACCAGATGAGCCTGCAGCCTTGGGTTTTAGACGTGACAAAACTCTCCCTCACTGAGCCTGTGTCCCTCAGTCCTGCTGTACTGACCCATGATGCCCTGGGCCACAGGCCCTGGGGAGGCTCTGGCTGGGCAGGCTGGTGTGACCACGGGCTACAGGATGACGTCTGCTTCTGGGAGGACCCCCGGAAACTGCCTGGAAGGCTCCTTGGGGGAGGGGTGTGCAGGGGCCACAGGAGAAGGTGTTCCCAGTGACGGGAACCTTCTCCATGCCAAGAGCCAGGAAGCTAAAGGTAAAGGGACTTCTTACTTTAAAGGTAAAAGTCAAAGGACTTCGATGGCTGTGGGTGGGTCAGGGCATGAAGCAAGATAACCAATCAGGATAGAAAACACTTTCAGAGCACCATGTGGCCCAGCAGAACCACAGAGACTCTGTGACCACCCTCATTTCCTATCTTCATATCAGCAAAGCCACAGTTCACTTCCCCAAACTGATCATCTCTGGAACCATGGATCTGAAGTCTGTCCTGACACGTCTGGGCATCACCAAGGTCTTCAGCCATGAGGCTGACCTGTCTGGGATCACGGAGGACGCTCCCCTAAGGGTCTCCCAGGTGAGGATGGCCATGGTCCAGGGGTCTGCAGGCCAGGGTGGTGGGGGCCTGCTCAGGCCTAAGGCTGAGGTAGGTGCCAAGGGACACAGCAAGTGCCAGGAGTCCTCCTGAGGATGCAGAGCTTCACCAGCTCTGACAGGGAGGAGGACAGAGCCAGGGAGGTGGCCTACTGTGTCCTTCCAAAAATCTCCCTGAGTGGCCCAATGACCTTTGCATTTTCCTTTCCCAGGGCCATGGAATCTTTGGGCTTCTGTTTACCCACATTAACACTGAGAGGCTTAGGCTCAGTATGTTCATAGAATGTTCTGGAATCTTCCATCTGTGACATTTAGAGATAATTGTGAACCAGCAAATCTGAATTCTTACTCAGTTCTGTGGGCCACATGCTGGGGAAAACAGGAGGGGACAAGGGCAATTGCAGGTCCATGTTGGTGGCTTCCTATAGGTGTCTGGGCACTGGGAAGGTCACCATCAGAGTCCCTGTGCTGAGGACCTCGTAGCCCTACAGGGGGAGGGGATACATGTGCAGGTGACATGGAGGACGATGGTCTTCCTCTTGGGCTCCTAAGGTCCTATCCCAGGGCAGAAAAGATGGAGGTCAGGAAAGGACAGGAGGGGACCAGGCTGAGTCAGGCAGAGGCTGAGATGGGGTTGGGGGGACCTGAGTGACCCACATGGAGCCTAGGACAGGACAGGCTGGTGCAGCAGGAAGGCCCTGGTGAGGTCCTGTTGGTAGGAGGCTCCCACGTGGGGCCTGGCTGCAGCCTGGGGTGGCGCAGCAGGACCTCAGGGCCCCTCTGCTTCTCTGCCCTCCAGGCCCTGCATAAGGCTGTGCTGACCATCGATGAGAGAGGCACAGAGGATGAAGGGGACACCGTTAAGGGACCCATGGCCCTGACTCTTGCCCCTGAGGTGAAATTCGACAG